GCTTGATAACCAAATAAAAGTGCAAATTTGCCTAGCTAACTGGACCGTTTGTCCTTGGGATATCATAGAACCGAAGCAGCTCGAATAGCTTGGCTAACGAATACGAATACAAATACTCATACTCTCATATTTATATTCAAACATTCGTTTTGTGTATCGCGCCGCTGATAAGCGAGCGACAATTCACACAGTCAAGGTGCTGATTAGGAAAACCTTGGTAGAAATATCTGTTCTCGAGAACAACAACAAAAATGTGGGCGTGTTGGCCACGTGTGGCGCGAGCACCATTTATATAAGCAGCGTAAAACAGTGCATTCTATACATAGGCACACATACATACATACATAGGTATGTAGTTATATTTATAGCAACGATCGCCTGATCAAAACATTTGTCAAGTGTTAACATCGTTGGCTAAGGCAAAAGCATTCATCAAATGACTTAGAGTGTCAAGTGTATTTGCTCGATGGCCCGTTCGATTGAATTCAATTGGAATTGGAATTGAAATTGGAAACACAATCGTAATACATCAAGTTCTACAACTAATTGCATTAACAAAAACAAATAAATCCACAGAAGCTTTGTTTTCGAATTTATTGAACAGAGACAACGATCAGACTTGAAAGCTACGCAAGCGTCTCAAGAGGTCTCCTTCTCTATCTGTATCTCTGACGTCTTTATGACGTCTTTTAATCACTAAATCGTTAAAATAATCAAACCACATTTAAACGGAAGCCATTAACAAAAAGTAAACACTAAAATGAATTAGCAATCAGTTTTAATGACGTCGAATTCGACTGTCACGTGTGAACATTTTATTTAACACCTCAGGCATTGGCATAATTAGTAAGTACAATCGCTGACGAGTGCAATAGGTTAGGCATATTAACATTTGTACCCTGCATGTGAAAGCTGTTTGCATTTTATAAATCGGAAATCGACTCGCCTGACCATTGGCAAACTTGTTTATATGCATAAAGAAAGTGGCTCCGCCGGGCAGGTCTTTGTTTAAAAATCTTATACAGTTTTGGCATGTCATTCAAGCTGGCTTTTGCTGTCTGAGAAACTTGGGTATAAAGTCTCATCTATAAGCCAAAATCAATGTGATGCCAACTCTATTCAAAGTTGATAAGAATTAAATGAGATATGGAATCTGCAATATGAGCTCAATATATATAGGCTAACTACTAGTTGCTTAGCATATGACTTTAAAAACACAACTTAAACACAACAAATCTGTAGTAGCTGAACTTTTCGTAAAACAAGTGACTTCAGAAGCTAGTACATATATGCATATATCGCATATATACATACCTATTATTTATTTTATAAATTCCAAAACAAAGTTGACGAACCGGTAGAACAAACGACGACGACTCTGTAGCTGAATAGAGCGCTCTGTGGGCCAAGCCTAGTTTTTTTTTGTTTTCTTTTTAGCTTAAGCTCTGTTATTTCATTCATGCCTGGCATCAAAAAATAATAACAACAACAACAGCAACGATGTCAATTATCTTCAATTATTTACAATTATTTAATAAAACGTAAGCGTAACGGCAAACTACAACAACAACAACTACAATAGCAGCAACAACACTAGCGCCTATTGCTGCAACTGCCACTGTCACTTGCTGCAGTTACGTAAAGGCAGCAACAAAATTACTCATACGACTCGTAGGAACGATTGCTTTGGGACAGATAAGTAATCGACGCCTCTGGGCCTTATCGAGAGACACACATAAACAATTCGGGCGATGGAATTTTTTCTAGATAGACAAAACAAAACGAAATATTTCAAAAGAGCAAACAAATCACAATATTCGATACCAAGTAAATAATATTCACAAACACATAGTCAGATAAATAAATATATATATATATACATATCTGCAGAAGTATGTGTATACAGGAATCAGTTGTTACTTGAAACCTGACTCATGTATTATTCTTCTTGCTTTATTTTATATAAACAAACAAGTAAAAAGCGCATGCAAAACAAAAGATAAACGCGTTAAATATATAAATAAAATGATGATAGAATTGCTAGAGTAAATTGAGACAAGTGGCGACGTAGACGACGCACACACGATGACGGCTTCTAAGGCTGGTCAGATCAATTAACGAAAAGAAATACAAAAAAAAAAAAAAAAACTAAACTAAATGGGGCTGTTGACTGCTAAATGCCGTTGTCTTTATACCCTAACTGACATACGATACGTTAGTTAACAGAAATATGAGTGCGATCCATTCAAAGTTAAACAGAGCCTGGTAAAAGGGGTGCTAATGGAGTTAGCTTTACTATATATGTATATAAAGCATTTCAAATTATTTTTCTTTTTTTTCTATATTTTATATCATTTAATATATACTCAACTGAAGTTTGATCGTCACGTGCTATAGGAGATTCTATGTCTAATATTTCCAGTCACTTTTCTAGATTGATCAAGCAATCCGACGAGCAGGCAGCAAAAGCTGGATCCATTCACCAATAGATTTTAGATTTAAACCAATAATATATATGAGCGATAAAAACTTTTGGCTCGATTTCGACTGAAGTGCACTCTTATTTATCTACGGTTAATGATCTACAATTTATAATGGGGGTACAATCTATAAAGCACTTGTACAATATACGCGATTCGATGCATGATACACAATCTACAGTCAACGATTTACGATCAACGTTCTTAACTGTACGGTATACGATATTCCATGTTCAATTTACGATCTACTATCTCTGATCTATGATATACAATCTAAAATTGTCAGTGTATGATCTTCAATTTCCGAGTGTCTCCGATATCCAATCTATGATCTACGATCTACTTCCAGCTTCAACTCTAAGATCTAGTGCCCATTTTGAATAGAAACATATTGAAAGTTTCAGTTATTTTCAGTACAAGGCGCAAATATAAATAATAATTATTAAAAATAGAATTGTCACACAAACAAAAGTGTTTTTTCTCCTTGTTTATTATGACAATGCAAGATTTATGAATAATGAGAGTCTACGTACCTGAGCTAGAGAATAATGCCTCTATATAAGGTACTAAGTGATTAACAATGCATATACGAAAAATTCCAGGCTTTGTGCTTCATTGTACTTAAAATATAGTCTGATAAAGTGGCTTTATAAATTGTTATTAATGAATTTGGAAAAACTTGTTATTAATTAAAGCCAACTGGGTTCATTGACATTGCAAAAATGAAATATTTAATAAACGATTTTGTGCTGTTACAAGAGTACAGTAAACATTTAGTTCTAAACTGTTGTATTTGAGCTGAAAAGACACACACAAAGTCTTACATGTATGTATGTATAGATATATATATCGAGATATATGTATTAAGATATATTGCCGTACCGGTTTTGATGACCGGCTGGCATTGCGCATACGCCGCGTTTGCCAGAATGCGAGCAATAGAAAGAAACGACGTCGCCGTCTCCAGCTGTGTGAGAAATGCTTTACATTTTGTCTGACGCTGGCCACGGCGATTAGGTCACTAGCCAGCGCACATCAGCAAATACATATACATATACATATGCATATTTATATGTGTATACGCGTTTAAAGCAAATTCCACTCAATTTACTTATTGAGGCTCGTCGTGCGTTTGAAATGCCTTTGATTCAGAGAGCCACAACACGCCGGCCCCAGAGTGGGCAAAATAATTTGCTGCTGTTGTTTTCTTGTCTGTCTTTAAGCTGTGTCTTAGCTCGGCTTAGAGCATTTCGTTTTAATTGAGCTTTGTCTAATTGACTAAGCCGCTTTTCGGCTTAATTTGAAACCCCAAACCCCGAGCCCCAAATCTAATCAAATTTTGAATTGACTTAATGCGTAGAAAATTGACTTGAGCAAATCTAAACTGGAGCGGCGAGAAGAAGAATGATGTAATAAAGAGCGAATGATAGGTCTGTGGATAGATCTAGATTTTCTGCTCGAATTCAACCAGATGTATCGATATTACCTGTATCTATTCTCTACTACTTTGCATTGATCTACCCCTATTTGTACACAATTAAAGGGTATACAAAGACTTTACTTTGTCTAGAAACCCGACCTTCGTTCGACTGAAAACAATATAAGAATTTACAACTGCAAATTGCGCTTGGTTGTCAGCCAGGATATATTCTATGACCTCTTTTCTATCAGCAGTCGAGGGGTATAAAATGGGCTGAGCTGGAGAGAGGGCAGGGTATGCATAGTCAGTGTCATTTGTCCATTTGTCGAATGCACTCCATTCCAATGCCAGTGCAATGTCAATTGAGATAAAAAAAATAAAAATAACAACAACGGATGCCGGGTTCACTCTGAAACAAATACAATATAAATATAAAAAAAAGAAAACACAACAACAATGCTTGCAATAACTTGTTGCTGACACACTCATGAATGAATGAATGACAGCATTCACAACATTCACATTCGCAACACAATGTGAATAGTTCAGAGTGTGCTTAGGATTCGTTTCGTATCGGTATTGAGATTGGAATTGGTGTCACATGCACTCGCCGCAAAACTTGACAACAAATCGCTAATGACGTTGCTCAACCCGGCCGGATAGTGTAAGTGACAAAATTGTTGAAGAAATCCGAAGGGGGGCGAGAGAAAGAGAGCGAGTTAAAAGCTAATGATGACTAAGAGAATCTTGGTTAAATTCAATATAAGCTGGAATGCTCTAATGGAGAATGCTAGACTACAAAATACCCTGCGCAGAAAATGCTAAGTGTATTTTATAAATGGAATATTTTGTCTCTTATAGAGAAGTCTAAAATAATAACTAATATTTATTCTATTAATATTATTTGGCAATCTTTCATTATTAATGATATTGATAAAATGATGATGTTAATTGTGATAATCACTACAATAAACACACTCTACACATATATTTAAGCTTCAACTACTTACGCCTTTAACTTATGGTCCTCTCTCTTTTCCATCTAATCTCTTTCTCTTTGGCTTTATCGATATCTCTAATTGTAAATGCAATCAACGCAGTCGCCAGAGAACAACACTGCGCATCGCACAACTTTTATTGAAATCGTGCCATTCTACACCGGATGCTGGCGACGAAAAGAGGTAAAAAATAGAAAAAAAATTAGGCGACCCTTTCATAGAGCTTATATTGATTCCTGTACGCCTGCTTATGCCAAGATCAACTGCGAACACCAGCTCCCAACTGATTCCAAGTGCAACGCCCACGCATTTGCTTTTGGCCCGGCCAATTGTATCTAGTTTTATTGGCAGCCGTTTTTTAGTTTGTTTATCTACTTTGATTTCGTTTGGCCCAGAGTTTTGCGTGGGTTTTTGCGTTTCGAAAAAGAGAAAAACCGGCTTTAGCTAGCGCTTCTTTTGGGTTTTTTTTCCAGCTTTTTTCTTTCCCTCTTTAAGTTGTGCTTTGTTCCATGACGCTATAAGCTTTAAGACTTGCCCCTATAACGCTATGGATCACACTCTGTTTAGTTTAACTGAATGTGCCTGAATTTGCCAACTCACACACACACACACACACACACTTTTGGCATTTAGCATTGACCTCATAGTCAACCCCATAGCCTTTGACCATTTGCCTGTGATTATATATCTATTTCTTTAGTTGTTGCTCTTTTCGTTCTCCTCACTCGCTGCTTGTAATTTCATAATTATAATTCAACAATGTTTTTTTGTTTTTGGTTTTGTGTGTTTCTCTTCATTTGCAATTCGCAATTGCGTTAAATCCACTCGCACCACCCGATGTCTGGCCGTGGGGCTGGCTGGTCTTGTTGTAAAGCATGTTTATAATGTCGTAAATCCATTCGACCTGCGCGTCATTTTTAATGACACGTGCGAGCACAATTTACATACTCACTAAATGCACCAGTTGAAAATATTTACTCTATATATATGTACATAGACCTATATATGTATCTTTATAGGCTATTGCTTACACTTTTCATTTTGTGGTGTGATTATTGTGCCATCTAATTTGATTCAATCACTTCAAATGGCTGCAGCTTATAATTAGCTGTGGCTTACATTGAACTTCACTTGCTTTATCGTCCATTGCCTTACAGGGTATTAATCAGCGATATTATCTTGCTCAAGCTAACTGTTTATGTTGTTTTTTGAGTTGCTCTCGTTCTTTTGGTAATTTTGGTTACTTTAACTTGTGTTTAATATGTTTATATAATACTCTTCTCTATTATGAGGGCCTAACAACAAACATTCAAATAACCCATTCATTACCGTATCTCGAATCAATTTGCTTTTCTGCTCCGTATATTTGTTTGCTTTGTAGATTAGCACTGCTACAAAGTAGATAGCTATAGTACCTACATATATAGATGACTCTCAGTGTATATATATATATTGCATTATCGTCCATGATTCGCATATTAAATATTAGCACAGTGCGGAATCTGTGCTTTATTACGTGATTGTCCGATATAATCTTTCCAATAGAATTGTTGCTGTTGTTCCATATCGAGGTATTTCTTCATTTATCGCAAATTGGCGCTGCTCTAAACAATTTTTAATTGGCAACGAAATTGAAACCCAATTGCCACAAACCCAATCCCCCCATTGAATACCAGTGCCCCTTCCCCTGCGTCGCACGCCAACAGTCGTTGCCCGTTCGCCAGTTCATATTGGCATCGGGCAGTGGAAACGAGTTTCCTTGCACTCATCAATTTGCAGTCTCCAGTGAGTAATCGCAGCGTTCTCTCCTCCTCTGCAGGCGAACAAACATGGCCAGGCGAGCATGGGAAATGCGAATGGAACGGAGCGTGTGCCGCCCATTGGGGGCTATCAGTGGCCCGCCGATCAGACGCCCGGCGTAATGGGCCTTAAAAATCATGGCAACACCTGCTTCATGAACGCGGTGCTCCAGTGCCTCAGCCACACGGACATATTAGCCGAATATTTTGTGCTGGATCAGTATAAGGTAAGTGCAACAGATTGAATGCCTAGATTTTCTATACAGTTTCTCTCACTCCCCAGGCTGATCTGAAGCGTCGCAATAAGATCAATTCACGCAAATTCGGCACCAAAGGCGAACTGACCGAGCAGCTGGCCAATGTGCTGAAGGCCTTGTGGACCTGCCGCAATGAGAGCGATCACAGCACCAGCTTCAAGGCCGTTGTCGATCGCTATGGCACACAGTTTCGCAGCTCGACGCAGCATGATGCACAGGAGTTCCTCTTCTGGCTGCTGGACAAGGTGCACGAGGACTTGAACACGGCCAGCAAGCGACGCTACAAGAGCATCAAGGTAGGCTGCCAGCTCATGCCGCCAACATATCTTTATACCCACTCATTGTAGAATTTTCTAAACACACAGAACTCGTATGGCCGCTCGGATGAGATAATCGCCGCCGAGACTTTGGCGAATCACATACGCTGCAACAATAGCTTTGTGCAGGCCGTGTTCCAGGCGCAGTTCCGCTCCTCGTTGACCTGCCCGCGCTGCCAGAAGCAGTCCAATACCTTCGATCCGTTCCACTGCATTTCGGTGCAGCTGCCGCAGCTCACCCAGCTGACCGTCTTTGTGACTGTGGTTTTCATGAAGAAGCAGCCACGCCAGCTTAAGATGGGTCTGCGTGTGCCCGCCGGCTCGCCCATTGTAGCGCTGCGCGAGCAGCTCCAGGAGACCAGCGGCATTGCCGCGGATCGCATGGTGCTGGTGGATCTCAGCTCCGAGGGATTCACACGCGTTTTCTACGACACTCAGCCGGTGGAGACGCTGAGCAGCGTGGAGAACATCTACTGCATTGAGGTGCCCGAGGTGAGTCCAGCGCCAAAGGCCGCACTAGAGGCTGCGCCCACGAACGGAGCCGAAAAGCCCGCGGCGCCAAAATCAGCTGCCACACATTCCACGGATCTGCTGCTGCTCGTGGCGAATGTGCATCGAAGAAAGGGAGACGTAGGCGAAGGCGATGACAAGGATACTGCCAAAGATGTGTGCACCCGCTTTGGCGCACCCTTTAGCATGAAGGCGCCCAGAGATTGCAGCTACCAGGACCTGCAGAAGCGCATGCTGCGCGAAATGTCTGCGCTCCTCAAGCCGGAAGTGTTCTCCTATGCAACGCCGTTGACGGATATGTTCAAGATACGACTCCAGGATCCCTCTGCCGATCCGGATACATATCTGGAGCAGGTGGAGCATCCGCTGCTCACCGAAATGATTGACATGGCGCTATCGGTGCTCTCTGCGGAAGCGGGGCCGACACACATCAAGCTGCTGCTCGAATGGAGCGCGCCCGAAGCGCACTTCGTGCAGCTCCAATCGGATGCCGACGAAATTGTGGAGCACGAGAGCGTAGCGCGGCTCAGCGCCAGCAAACTGAACGATACGGCCGCCCTAACGCTGGAGCAATGTCTGGAACATTACACCAAGGCGGAAACGCTCAGTGCAGAGGATGCCTGGCGCTGTCCGCACTGCCAGCAGTATTTGCCCGTGGTCAAGACGTTGGGTCTGTGGTCGCTGCCCGACATATTGGTTGTGCACTTCAAACGCTTCCGTCAGCATCAAGCCAAGGGGCCGCAGGCAGCCAAACTGACTACCATGGTCAAGTTTCCGCTGACTGCTTTCGATATGTCGCCGCACTTGGCGCGTGGAGTGCGGGAATACAACAGCCTGGGATCCGCCATAGAGCAGACGGGCAAGAAGAGCAAGAGCTCCGGTGACTCGCGCTCCTCCACGTTGAACTCACGCGCCGAGCCAAAGGACACGCGCTACGATCTGTATGCCGTCTGCTACCATCAGGGCGACACTCTAGAGACCGGCCATTATACGGCGGCCTGCAAGAATCCGTACGACCGTCAGTGGTACAAGTTTGACGATCAGCGTGTTAGCAAAGTGCCCGAGAATGACATCGAACAGGACATTATTAACAACGAAGCGTATATGCTCTTCTATCAGCGACGCAACGCTGACGCTGCCGCCGAGTGCTCCGGCTCCAGTTCCACATCGGGCGATCATTGGGTGTCGCGCATTGCGCCGCCACCAGCAACTGCCAGCAAAGAGAAGGATATTGTGCCAACGACATCGGATGCGCCTGAGCCGGTGCCAGCTGTAGCCGAGAAGACGCCCGCCAAGCCAATGGCTGTGCCCATTCCCATACCCATTGCAGCCTGTGAAATCGAGGAGCAGGTTGAAGGTGAGTGCTGCACGGCTTACTTGAGAAATAAATATGATAATTTTTACAATTCTTCAGTTACTTCTGCAGAAGCCATCACGGAATCATCAACTAAGGATGCGCTCAATATGGAGGCAATAGCGTTTGCCGATGCCGATGCTGAAGCGGAGCCTGTCTTGTCAGCTGAGTCAAATGCTGAGCCAGCTGCGCCGTTACCCACAACGCCAATGCCAGTCACTGCGGAGCCAGCTAGTGCAGCTACTACTTCTACCATAGAAGAGGCTGAGGCCACGCCCATATTTGCCATGGACGAGGACTGCGCTGAAAAGCAGCCGAAGGTAACGGCCGACGATGCCACAGCGCCCAGCGTGGCGCCCCTTGAGGCAGCCAGCGCAGCTCCTGCTCCAGCAGAAGCCACAACCAATGGCCATGCTGCCAGCCCTGGGACATCCTCAATATCCAGTTCGGCTTCATCGGTTAGTTCGCTCTCGTCACGCTCCTCGCCACGCTCGCTGAGCACCTCCGTGACGGCCGCCTCGACGCTGCAGAACAAGTTCAATGGGCATATGAATGCCGCATCTGCTGCAGCGGCGCTGCTCAATGGCAATGCAACGTCGCAGTTGTCTTCCAGTTTGCAGCTCTCGCGGCATGCGATGCAGAACAACTGCAATCACAATTGGTACGGCTCGCGCAGCAGCGTCTCGGCCATCGAGAGCGCCACACAGCAGCAGCAGCAACAACAACAGCAGCAGCAACACCAGGCTGCAGCCGCTAGCCTCAGTCTGCGGCACTCATTCTCCACCAGCTCCAATTACAAGTTGCGCGAATGCAGCGAAACGCTGTCTTCGCTCCTGCGCAACTCGGCCAACACCTGCAGCAAGGATACGCTGCTTTTTATAGACCAGCAGAACCACCATCATACGAGCGGCTTGATTGAGGACGATGATGATTCATACATGGGTCGCTCCTTATGGGTAAGTTTGTCCCACACCACTTAGTAAATGTGATTAATTAATATATTTATAATATGAACTCTCTCAGATTTCACCTGTGACGCCACACAAGCTAATTACCGTCTCCCCCAAGAATTAATGACGATATTGTTATTCGATTTGGAATCAGAATCACTCACACACAAAACGCACTATAGATATAAGCCTAAAGTTTACTTTATATTGAATATTTCGATCGATGCAGTTGCATCCATATATACATACGTATAGTTGTAAGCTACAAGATGTTATACACAACGTTTACTTTAACAATTTGCGATTTACAAACATATATACACATACTCGTATATAGCATTATATAAGCATATACATATATATACATATATTTAAGCTAGTTTAGGAGCGAGAGTTAATCAGCTTTTGTTTTTGATTTGGTTTTAAGTTAATTTATTATGAGCAAGAGACGATTGTTAACTAAATCGGGAAAATTTTTAAAACAATTGACATTGCATTGTATATTATTATTTATTTAGTTTAATGCGAAAGTACAATATGATTTGATTTTTAATTCTTTTCATGCAAAACAAATGCAATAATATTTTTTGTTATATAAACTCGATTTAGAGCAGTCCGTGCAAGGCATATGTAGAAGAGGAAGATGAAGAAACCAAGTTTCAAGCTGCGTATTTATATGCATACGATCAGCGTATTGTGTGCATATATATGTGTATATATATTCAATTCAATTACTACATCTAGTATTTGTATTTTAATACTTGCAAGCATACTTTATATACAAAGATTTAATAACAAAAAAACAAAAACAAAAAACAAAAAAAAAACAGGCACAGCTGCAGATTTCTTTTTCTTTATACATATATATTAGATCATAAGAGTTATACATTTTATAATCTATATTGTATGTGTAGGAAAGCATTAAACCAAAACATTATATTGATAACAAATGTTGAAAGACTTTGAAACATTGTTTATTGCATAATGTAAAACACTTTATAATAATATATATCCATTATATAGATATATATATATACATATATATAAATGAGAATGATTCAACTATTGTATGTTAAGAGCATGTTTATTAATTGATGAATTGTGTAATGTACATTGTATTCATGAATAAACGTGAAATTGTTGGATATAAAACTGGCGAATCTATAAATATGAAACAACGAAACAAGCGAAGATACAATTTCTTTGCAGGAGGCTTAAAGGCTGTAACTGCATTATATCGATCGCCTGTGTATATGCCACATGCTCGTGCCACTTGCTCCTAAAAGCATGCCTCAGCTCTGGCCGTATGCCACTTGTGCGGCTCTCTCGAAAGTTGTCTTTGTCTTTGAGTTGCTGCTGCAGAATTCTGAGCCGAAGCTTTCTTTACAACTTTCTGTGGCTAGTCGAGTCGGCACTCTAAACTCTCTCTTCACGGCTAACCATGTTGGCCAAGTTCAAAATCAGAGGTTCAATGTCTGCTGGTTGAGCATTCAGAGGTTCAGTTCATTTACTGCACTTGCCGCGTCGAGTTCTGTGTAGCGCAAAACGCCAAAGTTGGAAAAGTGAAAAAATAAGAGGAAGGAAAATTCTTGTGTGTCTCGTTTTGCTGGGCAACTAAATAAAAGGCTATTAAAGTTGGCCAACATGGATTATCGTTTGCTGGTGGTAAGTGCGGCAATGTTGTTAAAATGTATGCACGAAATCAAGTTTGTTGCCCAAGTCTTTTGTTTTGCACTGCGTTCTGGCATTTACTGTTAGCATAAATTCTGGAGCAGTTGGCTGTTTTTATATAGACATGCTAATGAATTAAAGTGACGGGCCAATCGACGCGAGCTACACAAAAACACACACACACACACACACGCATCGAGTGGCTGTTATTTAAGCCTGGCATAGAGCAACTTTCCCGTTACCTAAACGTATTTAGAACAATTTAATAGCACGCACAGAACACACACCACACACTACACACACACATGCACATACATATACAAAGTAGCGACAAATTCTGGCCCCGTTGAGCAGCGGTGCTTTTGTATTAAGTCAGCCTTAAATATAGTCATTAGCTGGCCAGCAAAGTCTCTGTCAGTTACAGCTACGGCCGCAGTTGCAGTTAGCTCTGGCTCCGATTGCGGCCAGCACTCGAGTTGCAATTAGATGGCAGCCAGAGAAAATGCTGCCATCCCAAAAGGGCAAAAGGCGATCCCAATCTCAGTCCCAGAAATAAAGAAACCGAATCAAACTAGTTTTACGCATAACGAGATGGATATCAAAGAGACAAACTCAAACTCAAACGACAACGGCAGCGCATTGCTCATTAGAATAAACAAAAATTATAAAAAAAAGTAAAAAAGCAAAGAATTCAAAATCAACAGCAGACCGTGGATGACCCAATTTTCGCTCTTTCGGAATGCCGAATTTGGTTTGTGTGGCTGTGAATCATGTCACGAACGAGATGCAAAGCACAAAAGACCTGAACACCCGCATCACATACGAAATTGTTGGGCACAGTTGAGTTTCATGAGATTCTCCAGAGCGTTGGCCCAAATATGCACACACAAAAAAAAAAAAAAAAAGCGTGAGGTAAAAACAGAGTCGCCTACTTGACCCGAAAAGCTTGAGACATTCTGAAACTTTTGATTTCATTCAAACAGAGACGCAAACGCAGAGGAAAATAAAGAAGCTGACAGAATTTCAGGGAAAGTTTTTTTCCTCAAGTACCCCCACAATGAGACTAAGATGCAAAAGTCACACTCTTGGTCAGTGCCATTCGTTGTTGTTGTTGTTGTTTCAGTTTGTTTATTTTGATGCTGGCGAACAACTTTCGCGCTTTCGCCAAACGTCGTCTGAGAGCGCGTCTTTGTGCCCATTGGGGCATGGCGGAGCATGGAGCCAGGGGCCATGACCAATGCCACAATGCGAGCCATTCAAATAGCAATTAATTTGATTTATGCTGTCGCGTTCTTTATGCACATAAAAGATATACATATATATATATATATATATAAATTACACATTTGATGTCCAAACTCGTTTTATCTGTAGAAAATACTCAGCTTTTTGCTGCTCGCTCAGCTGTCGACGGCGCAGTCTGCCCCACAATCGCAAACAGACTACGGCGAGGAGCCGCCCGAGGGCTATTATGCATTTGTGGAGTCTCCGAATGCCGTGCCGCCACGAGTGCGTCCACCGCCGTACACGTTCATCAATGCGGACTGCAAGGATGTGGCCTCCGGCAAGAAGTCGGCGGTGTCCGTGCACAACATCTGCGGCGACTTGAATAAGGGACAAATTCCCAAGAATCCGCTGGGCCAGAATGTGCTCGGCGAGCCGTATCCCTTGTAAGTGAACGCATATCCTTACACATTTCCATGTAGCATCAATTGGTTTCCGTCTCGCAGCGAACTGATACGCAATCAGACTCTGAAGTTCCTGTCGAAGACGTTGCCCGTGCTTAAGGCGGACGACACGCTGCCCAAGGTGACACAGATCATTCGCGACGAGCCGGTGGATCAGCTGGACAACAACAACATCGATAGGCATTATGCCACACGCGTCACGCGCAGCTTGCCGGATGGCGTGGTGCCCAATGAGTATAGCTACTTTGATCCCGCTCTAGATGAGGAGGAGCAGCAGCAGAAGAAGCTGCACGAGCAGCGACGCGCCGCCGAGGAGCGCAAGCCACGCAAGTTCTGCGATGGAGGTGGAGTGTAAGTTCACTTTCTCAAATTGTCAAGCTATATATATATATATGGAGTTCATCATATCCGATTCTCGATTTCGTTTCTTCAGCTTCTGCACGCTTTATCGCGCCATTCAGGGCGACACCAGCCCCGCTGTGTCCGCCGCACAGACAGCGGAGCGACGCGAAGAAGTGGGACCCATACGCTATGAGGGGCCGCCCACGCCCTGCCCGGCCAAGGTGGAGTACGCCACGCCCGTGTTCGCCAAGAACTATCAGGGTGCCTGGCGCTATGTGGTGCAGATACCCTATGAGGGCTACTTCACGCAGACTGTGGAGGTGACGCGCTGCATCCAGGCACGCTGCCACTATCTGGATGGCGGCTGTTTGTCCTCGCCACGCTGGGTCAGTCTGCTGGTCGCCGAGATATTCTATCCGAATGCAGAGGACACGGTGCCAAGCAGCAGTACGACGACACAGGCTCCATCCGTGCAGGACTTCCAGGCCTATCAGCAGTATCTGCAGAAGCGTGCCGGCGTGGCCACCGCCTCCGATGGCAGCACAGGTGTCCAGGGTGCGGGCGCCCAGAGTGCTCCGGTCGATGCGCACTGCGATGGGCACGACGAGCTGGGCTGCTTCCAGGTGCGGCTCTACTACGACTGGTTCTTGATACCCGGCTCCTGCAAGTGCTGGCGTCCCGACTACTTCGCCAAGTACGTGCGCCGAAAGTCTGTCGCCGATTTGTAGGAAAGAATAATCTAGAATAAACTAACACACATTTAGCATTTAGAGCGTGTGGCATGAAATGCTCATTCTAGCGATCCGACTAACATGGACTGCGCAGAGTTTGCATTTCTTGCAAGCAGATGAACATGAACATAACTAACATACATACACATAGACACACACCCATGTATGTGTGTGCGCGTGTGCCTAAGTAAGCAATTAGCTATCCTTGACTGAATACGCATTGAATTTCTACTAATAAATATTTCTGCTATAATTGTACCACTGTGATTTTTCTGCTCCAGGGGGGATACAGCTACAACTACAGCTAGGCCATGGCACGCGTTCTGCTCTTGGTATTGGTGTTGTTTGAGAGTGTGTGCATGTGTGTGTGTATGTCTCTCCCTAAACCAAAATTGAAAACCTGTCCCGCCAGCCACTCAACCAGTTGCGCATGCGTGCGCTTTGCTTAGCGCGGCTTTGCAGTCTGCCCAACCAGTTGGTTGGGTTTGGATGTGTTGCCCGCTCTTCCAGCTGCATTACATAGCTGCAAAATAAAAGAAAAACTCAATTCAAGTAACGTCAAATTGAGCCAGCCCAGCAAAGCCTTGACGAACGGCCTCAAGAGGCTGCCATAGAACCGCATATCCAGTTTCCGCAACCAGCAGCGTAGCAAGTGAGTTATTTAGCCACAAATTGTTTAAATGTTTGTGTATAAACAAAGCTTCGATGGTGCCGCTCGTTCGCATCATTGTCTTAGTTCGTTGCCTAAGTCTTTCGTTATCATTATTCAAAAATATGCATTGAGCGCAAATTGTGTGGGCGAAATCTAAGAAATATATGTTGATTATTATTTATGCACGCTTTCCATTTTTGTTTTTATTTTAGTCGGTTACTAATTTCTAATTTAGAAGATGTTGTCCAGCAAGAGCGGCAGCCTAAGCTCGTTGGACGCGCTGCCCAAACAATTTGTGTTGTCCATGAAGAAGCTCTTCGACATTCTGGATGATAAGCAGAGCGGCTACGTGCGCTTTGCGGACATTGAGAAGGGCTGGCAGGACGATGGCTCCAAGGGTCTGCCTCAAGGAGTGCTGGACTCGCTGCGTCGTGTGACGCCGCCTAGCGGCCTGTTATCCTTCGAACGATTCTGTGCGGGATTGAAGCTATGCCTGTTGCGCAATCAGCAGCAGCAGACGCAGCACTTACAGCAGCTACAAGTCCACGATAAGCTGACCAAGCCGCCACGCCCGCCATCAGCGCCGCAGCTGCTCGGTCTAGGTCTGGGCCTGGACAGCAGTGCGCCCACGGCAAAGGTGCGTCCACGATCACAGATCAGTCCCGAGCTGGATCACGAAATGGATTATGGTTCGCCAGCACCGCCGCCAAAGCCACCGCGTCAATCCGTAGCAGCTGCTCCGTTAGCCAAGGCAGACATACGCAATGCGCTGCAGAACTGGCAACTGAGTCTCATGCACAGCGAGCAGAAGAGCTTGAAGACTGCACGCGAGCAATTCGAGCATCGCGGCTCTGCCGATGGCGGCTCGTCCTCCACCTCGGCAACGGACTATACGATGGGTGCATTGACACTGGCGCAGCCACCCAAGAAATCGAATAATAAGCGACGAGAGTCACGGAGGCACACCTTGCAGCATGGCATTGACTACAATATGCTGAAGCGACTGAAGCATTTGGAGGAGCAGCGAGAGTTGCTCCTCTTCGGCCTGGATGGCGTGGAGAAGGCGCGTGATTTCTATATGCAGCAGGTGCTCAATGTCCAGGAGCAGATCAAGTATTTTGGGCGTTTAGGCACACGATTTGTAAGTAGCATAACTGTATACACAGTAATATATATGTATATATATATATAAATGAGATCTGCTTTCTCCACAGGAGCAATGGTCAGAGCTGCAGCAGGAGAGACTTAACTATCAGCGCGCTCGCGTACTGGAAGCCAATCGCAGCTTGGCCCTGTTGACAGAGACCTGGGAGCATGGCGGCTATCCGCTGCACATTAATCTCGCATTGCCGCGCAAGTCCCTGCAGCACTTCAATTGCAAGTCATACGCCTCCAATGATGCGGAGATCTACGAGCAGCAACAGCAGCACACGCAGTTTCACAGCCTTCGTAATATGTCGAACTTTGTGCTGAGCCAGCCTTCACCTGTGAGTCAATCCTCTGCGGGGCTGGGCGATGCGGATGTTGTCTACTAAATTAAGTTATCAATAGCAGAAGCAGTGAAAAGACTTTGTAAATAATTTGCATATATATTAAAATGCTTAACAAATCATTGGGCACTATTGACGAGCTATTGTGGATTGGGAAAGCGTCTCATGTATTTGTTCAACTGTTTATAGTTCAGATTGTTGCCGGGTTGCACAATGCCCTGATTGACAGTCTTTTTCGCCTCGAATTTGCGATCCATGTACAGTTTGTAGCAATTCTGAAATTGACTAATCTCCTTGTGGCAGTACTTCTCCACGAACTCGTTGTCCTTGAGGCAGGCAAACAGCACACCCATCTCCTGCAGGCATGCCACATCGGAGCCAGAGTCTGCCTTGCCGCTGACCGTGTTCTTCAGGCGCAGCGGCAGTATCTCCTGAAATGGCACATCCTTTTCGTTTTGTGGCGCACGCCCACGTGCCGCGTAAAGTGCTCCTGGAATACGCATCTGCAAATGAATATATTTGATCACATTTTCTTTCAGTATTCACAATTTTATTTTAATCCACCGTGTTTTTCGCCTTTCGTCTGCCGCTGCAATCAGCTGTTCGCTGTTACGTCAAAAGCGAATGCGCACGTTTACCAACACACGGTATAAATAGTAGCTATTTTCACATTACTCAACACTAGTCCCATGTCGCTCTGATCAACTTAAAATTTACACAAATAAAAAATACATATGGTAGAAATAAACAATACTACAAATCATGGATGCCGTTGATGACAACCACCAGGCGCCGCATCTAGCCGACTTCGCCGGCAACAATGAGGCGGACCGAGAACAGATCGATGCCGCAGCAATTGTGAATGATGCAAAAATCGCAACAACTGGTGCTGGTGTGTGGGAACGTCAGCTCTTTCGGTTTCATCCATACCATGGCTCCAACATACGCTTAGATGACGATGCAACAGTCGCCTTTCGACGCACTAGCTTCGCCGATGCTCTCACCTTCTCCGAGCGACCGCTGGTAAGCATTGTTAATCTCTATGTATCTATATGGGATGTACATGTGTGTGTGCATGTTTGTTTGCGAGTGTAGTACGTGTGTGTGCAGATGTATCAAACCGTGAATTTTAATTGATTAATTTCGTGCAGGCGCCCGGCGAAATATTTCTAGTGGAGATTGAGAAAATCGAACGGGGATGGTCGGGACACATGCGACTGGGCCTGACGGAGCTGACACCAAACGTAATTGGCATGCGGAGCGAAGGATTGCCGCACTTTGCGTTGCCTGACTTGGCCAATTTAGGAAACAGCTGGATATATCCGATCTCAAAATTTGAAATGAATCAACGTCAAGACCAAGCCGGCGAGAGTGTCGATTTCATAGCCAATGAGCCGCCACAACGTGAGTAAAAGTGAGATCTCCAATAGACCTGGATCATTGCTCAATCGCTTTAATCCTTAGGTAATCTACTTGGCGATGCAACGCATGTGCGTACGCCGCGTGGTTTACTGCCCAAGAGACTGTTGCGTCCATCGATGGACAATGGAAACTCGGATATACTGCTCACAGACCGAGGCTCACGCATTGGCATCATGTATGTGCCCACAGAGAATGATGCATCCAAAGGCGAATTACACTTCATCATTAATGGCGTGGACAAGGGCCCAGTATCAAAAGAAATACCATTAGATGGGTCGCCTTTGTACGTTGTTGTTGATGTTTATGGCACGACAAAGCAAATACGCATCATACAACTGGAAGGCAGTGAGTAATCAGATTCCATTTATAATTAGATTCGTTCAATTGAAATTAGTTTTCTTCTGTTTCTTTAGTACTGTCCTTGCAAAGTGCTTGTCGCAATGTTATACTGGAGCACATCGCAACCGGCTCCATTGCGCGGCTGCCACTGCCCGAGAGCATTAAGCGTTTCTTATTGCGCCGAGATTAGGAACTGAGACAAAGCGCACACTCACACATAAAAAGAAAAGGAAGCAAAACACACACTTTATGTAATAGAGCGTGTGCTGTTGCTCTGTACTGTTGTACATCAGCGTGCGTCGTGATAGCCTGTTTACCCATTTATATATATTTTATACGCATATTGTAGACAGTTGAAGTTGAAGCGGTCGTTCATTGACATTTCATTCCTCACTTGCGCCGTTGGCGCTCTCGACGTTACTTGCCCGCCCCCCTCAAAAGGCGGCTCTTGATCAGAGAGACAACATAGTTGCTGTCATTGTCTATTATCATCTCCATCTCTAGCTGCATCTGGTCGACGGCGTCGATGGTGGATGTGTCAAGCAATTTGTATTTTCATTCTGTAGATATAGCTTATAATATTTTGGTTACGTGATACCAGTTCTTTATATTTATATTTTATATACGTAGATTATGTTTAAAAGCATCACATGAATTTTACTCACTGTTAAAGAACCTGGCCCTTCCCCCAGCACCTTTAAATGCGTACATACCAAGAAATATGTACAAATCGCGATTTGGTTAGAAGTAAAAAGACAAAATTTGAAAGTGAAAGACGATGTGAATTTAAAATCCAGCTCCCCCTCCCCATCCCCCCTCAAAAAAAAAAAAGGAAAAGAAAAAGCAAATAGAAAATAAAACCTATGCACCGATCTGCCTTTAATGCCGTTTCGGTCCACCCCAGGGCGATTTCCATTTCCGTTATTGTAGCTTTAAGAATATTGTTGCTAAATGTAATATAAGATATAATTACAATATTATAGTATGTAAATTCTATGTAATACTTCGACGTAATATATTAAGTATAAAAGTGTATGTGCAGTGTATGTATTAAAGACATAAAGTAATAGGATTTAATTGTATGTGTATTGATAAAATAAAAATAAATAATGAAAATGATAGCTTTTGCGAAAGTTTACTTACCTGTTGGTAGAATTTGAGTTTAATTCCAGCAGCCATATCTCGGGTAATCGAAGTCCAATCTTGAAAAATTCGTTATATATGTAATCGCGCAACTACTTAGAATCTATCCCAATAAACAAATATTGCTTCGAGTACTAGTTGATGTTGCCAATCGGGAGTCTTTGTCTTTTCTAGTTCGCAAAGGTATATTGCTCCAAAATCGCTCTGTATTAATGCGAAGTATTCGCATTTGAGAATGTAGTTTTGAGTTTATGCATCTTGCAGGTTTTCAGTCCTATTTTTATATTTTCTTATTTCTAAGCATCCAATAAATTCCAAGCCCAAGAATATTATTTCTTAATAATCATAGTTTTTGCTTTTGACAAGCCGAAAAGTATGCTGTAACATATATTTTTTGGTTTTGCCTGCAAATAAATCGCAATGAAACAGTTACAATTTACATTTCTAAAATATAAAACAAACGAGCCGCTATATCTCGGGTAAATAAAATAATTCATTTACCCAAGATAGTCTAATAAAAATATTAGTTAAAAACTTACAAACTTGACCAAGGGAACGCCAGCTAATGCCGGACTATATAATATATATGGATATTAATGACTGAATCTACTTGGAGCGATTCTCAGCCAGCTTGGCCTTGAAGAGTGCCTTCAGCTCCTCGGCACCCTCCTCGTTGGTGGTCTTGTAGTAGGGCAGCTCCGAAAGTTTCTTTAGCCAGGCGTGCACCTTGGGAAACTTGAACTCATCAATGGGCGCAACATCGTTAACAGATGTCACGGTTGCCACACAGCAAAAGTCGGCAATGGTCAGCTCGTTGCCGCACAAATATGTCTGATCCTTGAGGAAGCCCTCCAGTATCTCATAGCACTTCTGCACATAGGCTATTTTATCAACGGAACAGTCAGTGGAACCAAAGTAGAGCACTGGTTCATAGAGGAAACGCAAACGGGCGAACAGGTGACCAGAGTCCAAGTGCAGGCGTGCATCTACATTGGCACGTTGGACCAAGTCCTTGGGGTACAGCGACTCATGTGCCGCGCCGTATTTCTCAACCAAATAGGCGCAGATGGCATGCGAGTCTATGATGGTAGCATCGCCATCGATCAATGTGGGAATCGTGTGCTGAGGATTCAATTTCAGAAACTCTGGCGTCAGATGTTCACCTTTCAATAGGTTAATTGGGCTACAAAACAAAGGCAATTCATTAATTGGCCAAATGCATTGGGTGTGGGCTGCACTTACCGCAGTTCAAGTTCAAGTCCGATTGCCTTGGCCGTCAGCATGACAGCGCGCGAGGGCGGGCTCAGTGTGGCGTAATAGAGGACTGGCTTCGACATGGCTCGCGCTGCAAGTCATTTCAATAATATTAGATTAAAACACGCCTATTAATAAACACCTATCATATCTGGTTGTGCGATAAGCTCATCGTATGTTTACTTTACTTACACATCTACACAAACAGTAGTACCTGCCCTATGTCTACAAATACATATGTAAAATACTTGTCTCTGCGAGCCCCCCTACAGCTGATAAGACACAGCGACATGATAAGCCAATATCAAGAGTGCACACAGTGAAAGCTCTGTTTAATGCACAGTTGCACTGTATAGTTGGCCTCTGTGTGAAGGCTTTGTGTTTGTTATACACAAATACCTGTACAGGCATATTGGTGTGGGATCTGACCGGCACTCGCCTGATATACAAGCACAATTATATACAAACACACATATATGTATATAAATTCGCAGCGCAGCACAAACAATATAAATGTAATTAGTAGGGGGACAGACTCACATACACGCACGCTTACACTTATATACATATGTATATATATAGATGCATATAGAGGGCGATATGACACATTCACAAACTAATAGGAAAAATACTGCCAGATCGCGTCTTGTTTGTTGTTTTAAAATCACACACATCGACATTGCCGGCAAATTGTTTTTATAGCGCTTTAATGTTTATGTTCATGTGTGCCTGTGTGTGTGTGTGCGTGTGATTGTCGTGAGAACAACGCTAATAAACAAGTCGTGCACAATTTCCCATAGGAGTTCCCTCACAGCATGTTGCTTTTTGGTTTTTGCGCTTCCAAATCCATTTACACTAATATACTTACATAATGTGTATTAATTTATATGCTAGACGCAACAAGTTATTTTTCTATGACCGCTCGCGCCGAACTCGAGAACGTGACTGAAAAACCGAAACGTAAAATACACGAGCGAAGCGCGCTCACTGAACGAAACCAGAGAGCGGGAGCAGAACAGTTCGTCAGAGCCACAGCTCAGAGCTCAAAGCTCGGAGCTAGGAGCTCAGATCTTTGAGATGTATTAGTGAGCGAGAGGCGTTTAATATATTGCTCTTGGTTTATTCATAGAGTTTTGGTGTACATACATATGCGCAAACGCGTTATTAGTAGCACGTTAACGAGTATGTCGATTACATTTAAACTATTAAATATGATATAATGAATATAATACCAGCATTTTCGGTTTGTTTTAGACAATCAAAGTATCTGCATTGTAAGCACTATGGAATATATATGTATGTATATATTGCAATATTGTAGTCACCAAATGACCTATAAGAATTGAAAGCATGCGTATTTTACAAATTGGAAAGTTGCTTTATAACTCAGTATAGTATAGCTGTACTAGTTAGTATATAGCCGTTTAATGCGAGCATGCAAATCGCTTATGTCGAGATTGTTCGTATGCAACATCACGTTAATCACTGCTTTGGGTAGCCAAATGATTCA